ATTCTGAATAAGGACCTGGTGCACGGTACACTGTAACAAATAAGATTGGCTGCAAAGTTTTCCAGGTCGGATGCGTAAGACCAAAAATGAGGCTTTCAAAGGAGTTATAATTTAATTTTTGTTTAGTATTGATAAGTAAACTTGAGTCAAAGATTGCTGCAACTCCACCTCATCGGCCCGTGCCTCGGGTAATATGAGTATTGATATGGCTGGGTGGAGTGGCCTCATTTATGCTGACATATTCTTCATGTCTCAACCAAGTTTCAGTGAGACAGCATATATCAATATTATAATCTGATATTAAATCATTTACCAATATTGCTTTAGATGCTAGAGATCTTATGTTTAAGAGACCACATTTAATCTTCCTGTTGTGCTGCACTGTAGTTGTTACATTTACTTTTATTAGGTTATTATGTATGACACCTCTATTAGGTTTTACCTTAAATTGTCCTTGGGCAGACAGACACCGTTAATATTGGGTATTTTTATTGGGCTCAGGATTCCTATGGATGACTGCCTAGGAGAGAGCGCAGAGAAGCGTGCAAGACTGCGACTCCGCCTCCTGGTCTCAACTCCAGTTTGTCATGGATTAAGTCCACAAAGCCCTGAAATGTTTGCCGAAATGAGATTTGCACCTTCCAAAGTAGGATGAATGCCGTCTCTCTTAATCAGACCAGGTTTTCCCCAGAAGGCTGTCCAATTATTTACGAAGCCCACAATGTCTGCTGAGCACCACCGAGACAACCAGCGCTGAAATGATGACATGCGGCTATACATGTCATCATTGATCAGATTGGGGAGGGGACCAGAGAAGATTACGGTGTCCGACATTGCGATTGTGTTAGGATCCGCCTGTTATTAAGGAGCTAAGATTGACTGCATGGTGAGTATTCTGTCACGAATGTTGATTCACCAAAATGTCAAGATGAAACTTAAAACAAAGTTGTTTCAATAATATTGATGTTGCCCACTAGAAACAGAATATATGAAAAATAAGAGTGTATTACATTTAATATGTTTCAAATACATGCCGTTGTATTACATAAACAAATAATGTAATCAACTCCTAATCATTCAAATAAAAGCCGTATATGATTTTGAGTGTGTCTGTTTGTGTGTGGACTGCCGAGGACCACAAGATGGAGCTGCAGACCAGAGGAGATTGAAAGACAAGCTGTGTCTGTTATGTAGCACGGAAGATGTCATTGAGCAAAACCCTACGAGCAAAACACATTAACTACAACAAAAATAATCTTTATGCTGTCCAGTTCAGCTTTCAGGACGCTGTTTTTGGTTAGGCTAAGCAATGGTAAATGTTGGTGTCATTGGGCTAAACGTATTATAGTAATAACAGTAATTATACATAAATGACAATTATAACTATTAGGACTTTTGTTATTATTTTGTTAAAGCAGAATGCTAATACTGCAACAATTGCAGGTTGGTACAGTGATCGTGTCTTTTCCCGTTTAACATGAATGCAGCATCGTTCAATCACATTTCAGGGATAGGTGAAATATAACCTGTATTTCGGCAAGATAATCCAATCACCGAGTTTACAATTTAGTCACGTGGGGCACGTCTTGAGAGAAAATCAATTCACTTTACATAGGTTATTATTCTTATTTTTACTTGAATTCAGCGACTATGCATTGTTCCCAAATGCAACAACTAAGCACATTTTGTACGCTGTAATTCACTCGCGACTGGATTGTATTCCATGGCAACTGTGGCGGAGGCTCGTGGATGTGGTTTTAGTAGTAGCTTGCCAACTCAAAATGACATAAAACATTATTTAAACACAAAACATTATTTATTAGAAGGATGCGATGAATGAAAGAGGATGTCCTTGTGGTACAATATTTCTATATGATGCGACGTTTTATAGAATAGATGGGGATAAGTAGGCCTACTTCCGGTCCCTCCCACGTAGAAGGGTATAGCCAGTCACAGCGCTGTTACGGGAAGCTCGTAGGCTCAAACAGCTGTTAAACCCTTCGCGATCAGCGATCCCGACGGTCCGATATTCTTAGCGAGCATGGGGCCGCTATTCAAGGCAAAGGCGCTGCTTGTGTCGGTCGGTGAGGTGTTGCAGTGTGCCTTTGGTCGGTAGTGACGGATAGACGGACAGCTGGCTGAGCGGAGAGTTTCGGCACGGAACTGCTCAGGTGGCGACTTCAAGGCGACTGCTGTGATGCTACGTAGGCAGCTGGAAGAAATGGGATTTCCTGCTATGAGAGAGATTCTTTGAGCCCGGAGCCTCGGACTTGCCTCTTCTATTTTACCTTATTTTTAACTGAGTTGGTTGGTTTGCTTTACAGACGCGGTGCCGTTCGGATAGCTACAGAGAGCACTGGTCGCTTGGGGAAGCTTTGGGGAATGGCAGGTCGAAGCCGAAGAGCCTGGTTTAGTGTTCTGCTGGGGTTGGTGGTCGGGTTCACGCTGGCTTCCAGACTCGTCTTACCCAAGGCGACCGAGCTAAAGAAAGCCGGACAGAAACGGACGGCGAACACTGCAGGCTGTGGAGTGAACGGGGGTCACAGGAAGGAATACGACGGAGTACTATGGCCACCGCAAGATAACAGTTTACCGGCGACCGAGAAGCCTGGCTCCGGGTCCAATCATTTCCTGTTCGTCGGTGTGATGACTGCCCAGAAGTACCTGAACAGCCGGGCTGTCGCGGCTCATCGGTGAGTGTCTCAGCGTGGAGCTGCCGGGGCTCTGTACACCTGTAGGCTGCCTTCGCTGTAGGCTCACCTTTAGGAACATGGACCAATAAACAGAGGTGGAAGAAGTACTCAGATGTTGTGGTTTTATGTAAAAGAGTATATTAATAAGTAAAAGTCCTGCATTCAAAATGTTACTCACTAAAAGTAGAAAACTATTATCATACAAAAGTAGTCATTGTGCAGATTGGTCCATTTCAGAATAATATGATATGTTTTATAATTCTTCTTAATCATTAGTGTTCTCAAAGCTGGTAAAGGTGCAGCTTGTCTGAATGACTTTGTATACTGCAGGGTAGCTTGTGATTTTACTCCAGGTGGTACTAAAGTCTGATTTAACACTTGATTATATTTCACATCATTAATCCACATCTGTAAAGTAACTAAAGGTATTACATAAATGTAGTTGAGTCAAAGTACACTATTTTTAAAGTCTCTCAAAATGACCAGTCCCAATAAATCGTTGTGTTTCCAGTATATCAAATACTAATTTAGCCCTTAAAAGGACAGTCTACCTGAGACCCAGTGATATCTCAAAATGACTTGTTTGTTGTTCAGACTAACAAAGGTGTAGTCACATTCATTCACAGTGCTTTACAAATGAGAAATACATTAATAGACATATTTTTTGCATTTAGTGCCCAGTGGCACATTTTTAAGTTGTACTCTGTTCCAGGGATCATAATTTTATATCAGTCTTTAAGTCCAACACAGATTGCCTTTACATTTCAGCAGCCCTCTGATAGATTCTCAGACGTTGTTTCTGAGGCCGGTATATTTACATGTGCATGCTCATGTGCTGTAGGGACCTGTGTCATCACACACATGACAGAAGCTCAAGACCAAGCCCTGAGATTAGCAGCTGTTCTCCTGGAAATAAGTAGCACTTGGACGAGCAGATACTCATGTCTGAACTCTATTAAAAATATTATTTCCTGTGTGGAGTGATGTAAATGTATCAATGTAAATAATTTAAATGAAGGCCTGAACATTCATCTTCCAACAGGACTATGATGTTGTTGCAGGAGAGTGTTTTATAGTGAAGGCCTCCTCTACTGTTTTTTATTTTCAATCAGGACCCATGGTCTGTGAATGAAGTCAACATGCGAACTGTTCATTCTGTTAAGCAGCTCTCTTTTTACCTAGGTCTTTTTCTTATTTGAATTCAAATGCCTAACATCTGGAAAGAGCAGAATCAGTAACCTAATATCAGTATCACAAAATAAAAGTACTGCAACCTGATTACTTTACGTTACTTTTACGGTGGTGTGGTGAGGGCTAAGAGGCACTGAAATGTGCTCAGGGCCGAGACCATGACGTTTATCCTGAATACAATGAGGACCCAGTGTAAGGATGCTTGGAAAGGGTGATGTGGCCTAGGGTTTGGACAAATATGTTGACACTGACATTATCTATCTATTTCACTGACGTTATAGATATTCAGATGAAGTCAGTGCAAGGCAGGAAAAGGAACTAGAAAATAACAGGAGTTAATTGTTTTACAGAGGTGTTTTTATGCCTTACTATGTTCATCCAGGACGGGAGGACCCCCAATTAAGATCAGCTCTTTGTTTTCACGTCAGACTGCTGCTTTTAACAGAGTAAATCCTTGCAGATTTACTCCTTACGGTACTACAATCTTTTTGATGAGTTTCATCCTAAAGAAACGCTCTGAGTGAATGAAAGGTACTCCTGGAAAGCAGCGATACAGTGTAGATCTAAAGGGCTTTTATTGTGAAAGGCAGGAACGGAAGGAGTTTGCAGCTGTTGTCCTTTAACAGTCTGGAAGCAATACAGTTTTCCGTCTTGTTTCGGACTACAGAGGCTCAATGTTATTATTATATGATCTTGTTGAGTCATGTTTCACTCGGAGTCTGCGATGTCCACAAGAGAACATTTTCTGACAATGTTTTACACTGCTTATTAGAGAAATACAACTCGTGGATAGCAAAGCAACAAATCAGACAAGGGGATGTTGTTGATCACCATATATTAATACATTCACAGTACAACAAACTTTTCGGATAAGTTTTGTTTTGGGCAACTTTGATCTTCCCCCAGAAAGGCACAGATGTCAAATGCAGGATGTAGATTTTATCAGCTGCTCATGTTGAACATCAATATGACTTAAGATAAGATGGAGCTTTATTGTCTCCCTTAGGAGAAATTTTTCTTGGGCATCGAGATAAGACACATAAAAACATTCAGGTCAATCAGTCATAGATACAGAACAGAGATCACATATCACATGGCAAAGAAACAAACAAGAAACATACAGGTACAGCACTTTCCCTATTGCACATATCCCTATTGCACATACATAATCAAATTGCACTTTCCCTATTGCATTCATACATAATCAAATATTGCACTTCCTGTTGGGTTTACGATATGCCTTGCGCTGACTTTTGTGTGCGTCCCGTCATGCTACATATGTAGAGTTTCAGACTTTTAGGTGAAAGCACAACCAAACGCTGTTTGTTTTTGTGCGCTAATGATGAAACCCCCAATAGAAATATATTTACACCTGACCCGACAAGTGTTAAAAAAAAAAACGTCTTTTACTTTTTCTAAGGCCCTCAAAAAGACAATTCATTTGGTAGAAAAAATTATTCCTGGGATTACAATAGGTCTTCGAATTTGTCGAGCTCAGGCCCTAATGGGCCAACATGTGGCGTTAGCGCACACCTGCACCCAGTGTAAACTCTATTCTCTTGCTATTACTATTCAGCCCACATTCTACTTTGTTCCCATTGCAAAGAGTACAGTTACTAAGACAACAAATGCATTTCAGCAGAGTACATACAAAATTAACAGAAGAGACACTAGAGAATAAATATAGCATGTAGAACAAACATTAAGGGATTTATATGAAAAAGTGTATAGATATTTATGAGAGATAGGTAACATGAGCTGATACATATTACAAACAATCCTGCTTATCCATCATTTACCTTTTCTTGACTGTGTGTTCACAGGACGTGGGCGCAGACAGTTCCAGGACGTGTAGAGTTCTTCTCCAGCGAAGGCTCTGACACCTCTATACCCATTCCCATAGTGGCTCTGAAGAATGTAGATGACTCTTACCCACCGCAGAAAAAGTCCTTCATGATGCTAAAGTACATGCATGACCATTACCTGGACAAGTACGAGTGGTTCATGAGGGCCGATGACGACGTCTACATCAAGAGTGAGAAGCTGGAGAGCTTCCTGCGCAGCCTGAACAGTAGCGAGGCCATCTTTCTGGGCCAAACAGGCATGGGGGCCCGGGACGAGCTGGGTAAACTAGCTCTGGAGCCTGGGGAAAACTTCTGCATGGGGGGGCCAGGGGTCATCATGAGCCGTGAGGTCCTCAAGAGGATGGTGCCCCACATTCGAGAATGTCTACAGGAGATGTACACCACCCATGAAGACGTGGAGATTGGCCGCTGTGTCCGGAGGTTTGCCGGGGTCCAGTGTGTCTGGTCCTATGAGGTAAGATGTTGTCATTTTGTTTTCATACTTAATATATGAAGCAGCCTCTCAGTTCCCACTGTGTGTGTGAAGGGATACTTTACAAGTTGCATAAAACTAAAAAGTTTTACCTCAGAAACTGCACAGTTGATATTCAGTCAGAATTTAAGATGCAAGAGAAAGAAGGGCCTAATTTGGCCTGGTGGCCTTCTGGTCTGTCACACCGCTCATGGCATGTGCTTCTCCTGAAACACAGGAAATGAGTTCCACTTTGAAGAAACGCCTACAGCAGCTGAAGCTTCACAGAGAGCTGTGTGACTGCTCAACCTTGTCTTTCCTATGTTTTATACACATTTGTTGCCAAGCCAGTTATGTCTCACTGAAATGAAGTTGTTGTTGAGAAACAAAAGAGCATGCAGGAAGAGTTCTATAAATAGAACAACCGCCCTGTTCTTTTGGCTCTGGTGCCATACGTTGTTCCAGAGGAGCCTATCGCAACATGCATTGGATACGAGGCACTTAGAGGCAGGCAGATACCCTTATAAAGGCTGCTGGTCTATTCCGCTTTATTTATACTCAAAAGCTGTTGAAGGAACTTTGCAGGCAGAGACTTTTCTGCCCAGCTTGTTCTCCGTTGCATTATTTCCCAAACAGCCAGGGGCCGTGTAAACTATTCTTTGAAGAAGCTAGTAAGTCATAAATCAAACATAGCTGCATGCTCTGCTTTACAGCATCTTAATTAGACCCTCCAGAAAAACGCGATTCTGCGATCGCAGAATTTACCGCATAATCAGCAAAATGGCGCAGATTTTTAAAAGGCCGCATATTTATCAAAAGGCCGCATAATCCCCGCATTTTTCCACACAAAGTTGAGAAAAAAAAAAGTTGACTCGTCTTGACGTGACGTCATCAGCTCGCACATCACAGAATGTAAATAACACTGTATAGAGTGAACGTGTGGAGCTCACACGATAGAGAAAACACCAAGATGAAAAAATCTAATCCATCTCTTTACCGATGAACATTTCTACTAAAGACCGGGCAAAAAGTGGGGGGAAACTATTCTGCACCCCGTGCAACTGTGTGTTGGAGCATAAGAGAAAATCGACGGGGACGACCCACTTTGATTCATTCAAACATTCGAGAATGCTTTCGGCTGCTGCGGACAAGAAAGCCAAACAACTCACGTTCAGCGAGGCATCAACCTCCAAAACCCTTTCGAGGGCTACAAGAAACGAAGTGAGTAGCCTACAAGATTGAAGCTGGTCAGATAACGAACGAGTAAATGAAAACGGAATGAGGCGGAGAAGTGTGTGTGTGTGTGTGTGTGTGTGTGTGTGTGTGTGTGTGTGTGTGTGTGTG